TGTTTTTGACTTGCTTTTCATGGCTGTTGTTATTATCATCATACATAATGGCCTGCCTCAGAAAACCCAGCCCGTCAGCCTGACTGTTGGACTAAAAGTGCCTTTGTTGAGCTCACAGGGAGATGATCCGACCCTGCCCACCTGTGACTGGCTGCATGAAAGAAAAGACTGACACACCCTTCCCCAAGGCTGGCCATTTCCTGAGATGTTTTGCAAGACTGAAGGCTCTTTTTACTTTACTTCCTCATTGCCTCTCCATGTTTATTCTGCCTTTGATTTTGGTTCCTCACTTCTCTCTCTGGTTCTGTAAAAGAATCTGGCATCCAGACCCCAACTAGATGGTTATTTTGAGACTTTAGTGTGCCATCTTCTCCATTTGTGGGCTTTCTAAATAAAGCCATATTTGTGGTAACCCAAGGACTAAAGAGCAGATAAAACCAAGGGGAGTCTTAGAATGCAGGAATGGAAAAACCAGACCCTTATTGTCCTTCCCATGTAGTAACTATTAACAGATTTCGGGTCCTCCTGAGCAGTATAACCTGTCTCCCCTCCTACCCCACACAGGGAGAAGGTATTTGCCTTACTCTTCCCCCACCCAGTATACGTGCCTCATCCAATCACCAAAAGACCCGCAAGACCCTTATCCCACTCCTTGTACCCTGGGTATAAAAATGGACTAAGGACCCCTGTTCAATATCAGTTATCCCTTGAACTGGTCCACTGTTCTAACAACGTCTCCCATTCTAATAAACTTTATTTCCCTCACATTCTGTCTCATGTCTGGAAATTCTTTTCCAACCCGTGCCCGGACCACGACAATATTCCTTGCCTCAACAGCTCGTTATTGACTGTGCTTGACTTTAGGTAAAAGGGGAAGTATGTTGTTTTACTTACTCCATCTTCCTACTTAGCTGGCTTTTCTGAAAGTGAAAGTTGCTCGGCCGTGCCTGACTCTTCGCGACCCCATGGACTCTACAGTCCATGGAATTCTCTAGGCCAGGATACTGGAGTGGGAGCCTTTCCCTTCTCCAGGGGATCTTCCCAACCCAGGGATCAAACCCAGGTCTCCTGCACTGCAGGCGGATTCTTCACCAGCTGAGCCACAAGGGAAGTGAAGAATACTGGAGTGGGTAGCCTATCCCTTCTTCAGGGGATCTTCCTGACCCAGGAATTGAACCTGGGTCTCCTGCATTACAATGCTGATTCTTTACCTACCAAGCTATCAGGGAAGCCCAGCTGGATATCCTACATTTTCTTAAATGAGCTTATAAGCTTATATTACCTTTTTTTTTAAAGTTACCTTTTAATTAATTAATTTATTTATTTTTCTGGGCCATGCTGTGCAGCATGTGGGATCCTAGTTCCCTGACCAGGGATCAAACCCATGCCCTCTGTGCTGGAAGCGCAGATCGGTCTTAACCACTGGACCACTGGAGTCTTAATCTCTGGTCCCTGAGCTTATATTATTTTTTATAATGGAGGAAATAAACAAATGTAATAGAACATTGTCAGGGAGGACAAAGAAAAGGAGCTTTTGTTTAGACCAAAGAAATGAAAGGAAGAGCAGGCCTGCGTTAGATGCTGGGAGTGGAATCTTGGAAGGTCGGAACCTATCAGCAATGGGACCTTTGCCTTTCAGACCTGGAGAAGTGTGCGAGCAACTCAGGGAGGATAGCTCTTAGCTATCCCCAGGGTGGGTTGGAGAGTTTGTGAATGAACCTCAAGCTCCTTGAAACAAGGTCTGTTGTGCTGCGTGCTGCGCTTAGGTGCTCAGTCGTATCCAGCTATTTGCGACCCCATGAACTGTAGCCCGCCAGGCATCTCGGGATCGAGGAATCAAACTGGGGTCTCCTGCATTGCAGGCAGATTCTTTACCAGCTGAGCTACCAGGGAAGCCCCCAATGTCCTTTGGCCTGGACTAATTATATCCCTCCCACCGAGAAATGGGACGCTGAGTCAGTGCCTGTGGTCTTGGAAATATTCCAACAGAAAATGAGCTGGAGTGTTGGAGAGAGTGGAAAGGCCGATCTTGATTTTAAAAGGAAAGAAAATGGGGACTTCAAACATTGAGCAAGAGGGCTGAACAGGAATAAAGAGGTGATTTGGGAAGGCCCGGAAAAGGAAATGATGATCCCTGGGTGCCAGAATGGGTTCATCATCCCCAGTTCCAGAGCACCCCTGGCTTGAAATGCTAAAAGCAGATATCCTGGAGTTAGTAGTTCTCCAAACAGACTTCTTTTTGTTGTCTGGTAGTGGAGAGGCTGAAGTACAGAGCAGATACTAGTATAATTCAGTCAGAGGATAGCAGACTGAATTACCAGAGCCCCCAGATTAGTGGGTCGATTGATGTCAATGTCTATGTTGGTGACTTCCCTGCTGGTCCAGTGGCCTAAGACTCTGTGCTGCCAATGCAGGAGACCCAGGTTCAATCCCTGGTCAGGAAACCAGATCCCACATACCGCAACTAAGACTGCTCAAGCCTCAATGAAGACCTGGCGCAGTCAAATAAATAAATACAAATATTTTTTAAATAAGACTCGAACTCCCAACGCAAGGGGCATGGGCTTGATCTCTGGTTAGGAAACTAAGATCCCGCATGTCGTTTGGCACCCCCCACCCCCCACCCCCAAAAAACTCTATCTCAAAAAGCGCTGTTCTGTTCAACAATTTTAACCAATTGCTAGGGATTAGAGGTATAGCAGAAAACAGGAAAGATACACCCCTGTCCTCATGGACTTAATAAACTAATACAATCTATTCATTTATCAAGGAAAATTTTTGTCTTAAAGGAATACAACTATTTCTTCGACCTCACTGAGAGAGGTGTATGTAGTTCATGTAACTGCATTCATGGTTTACAAGACCTGATTGCCGGACAGGTGGGACAGGTTGCGAACCTCTGCACACAGGTAGAGCCCAGCAGTGCCCTAGAGCAGGATGACGGGGCAGTGGGTCCACGGAGGCAACACACAAGTCGCTCCCCCAGGCACAGCCCACTGTCTCACTCACTGTAGGAGACCCCGTGCCTGGCCTCCCAGCAGCCATTTCTCACTCCCTTCGTTTCTAAAAATGCTGCAAACCTCTTGCCTCCGGTTTTCACCTCTCCTCCCCACGTCCATATGCCTCAGGGAATATTGCCCCCAGCCCAGGAGTGATGAGTGACCCCATCAGCCTAAGGGAAATCCTATGCCCATTGAGGTGATTGGTTCGGGACCAGTGTGACCAATATCCGGAGGAAAAGTCCAGGGAATGAGGAAGGGTGAACTTCTGGGAAATTTTTTCTGCTAAGAAGAAGCCACAGTGCACTGGTTAGAGATGTTTTCATCAGCAGGTAACAGAACATACCTCCTTCCACCTACACGCCGACAAATATAGTTTAGGAGTGAAGATACTCAGTGAGCTGTATACAAAGTCTGGATTAGGTGGCTCCTGGCATTGGTTTAGTGGTTCTAGTAATACTAAGATCAACATCTCTGTGACCGTCTTTGTCTTTGTTTATGGTGTCAAGAAGGCTGCCACTCCAGCCATTCTGTCCATATTAAGACAAGAAGAAAGGGGCTACGCCCATGACACCTGTGTTATCTTATTTTATTTTCGGCTGTGCTGGGTCTTCGTTGCTTCCTCTAGCTGTGGAGAGCGGGCCTCCTCTCTAGTTGGCAGAGAACAGACTTCTCGCTGCAGTGGCTTCTCTTGTTGAGGAGCACAGGTTGTAGGCACACGGGCTTGAGTGGTTTCAGCTCGAAGGCTCTAGAGCGTGGGCTCTGTAGTTGTAGCTCATGGGCTAAGTTGCTCCATGGCATGCGGGGTCTTCGAACCCATGTCCCCCTGCATTGGCAGGCAATTCATAAGCACTGGACCAGCAGGGAAGCCCGACACCTGTGCTTTTTCTAACCACATCTTTCCCCAAAAGTCCCTCACATGTTCCCACCTTCATCTCATTGGGCAGGACTGTGTCCCGTGGCCACTCCTCACTGCAAAGCAAACTGGGCAAGTCAGTTTCTCCTTAGCCAAAGGAAAAACAGGACGGGACTTCCCTGGCAGTCCAGTGGTTAGGACTCGGAGCTTCCACTGCAGAGGACCCAGTTTCCAGCCCTGGTCAGGGAACTAACATCCTGCAAACCGCATGGTTTGCAGCCGAAAAAAAAAACAACAACAACAACAACAAATAAGAAAACAAAGAGAAACAGAAAAGGGAGAGAGGGTTGGGAAGTAGAACTGGGTTAGGTACAAACAGAAAGTGACACTCCTGATTTCTGATCATCTCAAGGTCGGGAAACTGCTGCTGCCCTCTCGGTTCCAACCTGAGCAGGAAGCAAGCACTGAAAAAGCCAGAGCAGAGAGATGGAAAAAAACCTGCATCCAAGGTCAACAACCTGAATGGCAAATGAGCAAGGTAGGTGAAGACAAAGGTCGCAGAAAAGGAAAAACAAGTAGCCCTTAAGTATATGAAAAAATGCTCAATTCGCTCATAGTAAGAGCAATTAAAATTGAAATGACACTGTTATACCACTTTTCCCCTATCAGATTGGCAAAATTCCAAATGTTTGACAATACATTCTGTTGGTAAGGCCGTGAGCAAGCAGGTGTTTTCATGCATGAAGGGCAGAATGGCACAATCTGCAATGTCAGGGGAGGAGTAAACAAAGAAGCTCATGAATTTTGGTCTTTACGTCCTCACTGAGATGCTGTATCCACTTACCTGGAGACCACCCTTCTGTGGGATGTCCTATTAAGTGACACAATAAATGTCCTCACTGTTTCAACTGGCTCGAGTAGGGTGTCTGTTACCGAGAACCAAAAATATCCTGAATCACGCCCTGCCCCCTGCCCTGAGGCCAGGAGCAAAGTTGGGTCTGTCCAGAAGCCAGATCACAGAATCTCACTGGGTCATCCAGGGACTAGCCAGATCCAGACAGGTATAGGTCCAAATGCTGAGATCATTGCTGACAGCAACATCTCGCCCAGAGAATGAACTGTGAGCTGTTCCCAAAGCAGTGGGTGGGCAACTGCCTAGGGTAATAGACAATCCTTATCGTTGCAAGCAGGGGCTGCCTCCTGAGTGGCTGAGAAGACTGGTGGAATCCAAAGGTACAGATGATCCTAAAAAGTTGGAACTGGGTGTGGTAAGATGACTGCCTTGGGCTTTCTTAATATTGTTTACTTATTTATTTAGCTGTGCCGTCTTAGTTGCGGCATGCAGGACCTTTTAGTTGCAGCTGGCCAACTCTCAGTTGTTGCATGTGCAGATCTAGTTCCTTGAGTAGGGATCGAACCCAGGCCCCCTACATTGGGAGCACGGAGTCTTTCTTAGCCACTAGACCACTAGGCTTTCTTGGCCAGATGTCTTCAGCTATTTGGTTCATATGACTGTCTTCTTTTTTTTTTTTTGCTGCACTGAGTCTTAGCAGCAAGGGCTTTTCTCTAGATATAGGCAGTGAGGGCTACTCTCTAATTGCAGTGCATAGATTTCTCTTTGTGGTGGCTTCTCTTGTTTCGGATCACAGACTCTAGGGCACACAGGTTTCAGTAGTTGCTGCTGCCGGGCCATAGGCCACAGGCTCAGTGGTTGGGGCACCCAGGCTTAGTTGTCCTGTAACAGGTTGGATCTTAGTCCCCCAACCAGTGATCAAACCCATGTCCACTGTGTTGGAAGGCAGATTTTTAACCCCTGAACCACTATGCAAGTCCATGTTGGCCTCGTTAACATCTATCCAAGCCCAGACAGCCTCAGTCTGCGGGCCTGGCATTCTTCCAGACTCCTCTCAGACTATATTTCCAGCAAGTGTCCTGCCTGAAGCCTTCCACTCACGCTGATTACTACTCTCAGCACTCGTATGTTTAGTTTACACCCTGCTGTTAATTTGTGACTGTTTGCAAGTTGTGTCATGTGTGTGTATTGTCTCTAAGGTAGACAGGCCCCTGAGATCAAGATCTGTCTTCTCGTTCTGTTTTGTTTTTTAATCTCCATTCTCCTCCCCACAAACACTACCAGCATTAACAATGAGCATCGAGTACAGGGTATTACGTATCACAGACAAAAATGCTCGTAAAGATGCTCAGAGGTTTGCCCCCATTGCAAACAAACACTATGGAGGTGGAAAACTGAGTTTTCAAAGCTGAAGAATGTGGGGGAGAGGAGTTCTTTACTGTCCATCTGGCCTGACAGGGCTGTTAAGAATCACAGAAGTGGGAGGTATGTTCCATAAGAACATGGAACGTGAGAAGACTGCATATAACTGGAAATCATTGTTCTTTCAGAACAATCTTCAGACATCACATCGTCCTGCCTTAGCAGGTAAATGTAAAAGAAATTACAGTCAGAAAATTTTACTTTAAGCATTGGAAATTCTAAAATAGCTTTTTCCAACAGTCTGCTTTATTTTTTTCCCCAGAGTCTTTACCATGAGTTTCCTTGAGATATTCACTTAAGTGATTTGTGTTCTCAGCTTTTCAAAACTGTTATTTCTTTTTTAAAAATTCCCCTGGACTTCCCTGGTGGTCTAGTGGTTAGAACTCTGAACTTCCAATGCAGGGGATGTGGATTTGATCCCTGGGCAAGGAAGCTCTGAACGCCATGTGACTGGGCCAAAAAATAAAAATAAAAATTCCCAGGTGGCCCTAGTGGTAAAGAACCCGTCTGCTAGTTAGAACCACTTAAGAGATATGAGTTTGATCTCTTGGTTGGGAAGATTCCTGGAGAAGGAAATGGCAATGTACTGCAGTATTCTTGCCTAGAAAATTCTATAAACAGAGAAACCTGGCATGCTACAGTCCATGGAGTCACAAGAGTTGGTCACAACTGAGCTCACACACACACACCAAATGAACGGTGCAAATTTTCATAATCTGGGAAGACCTGATTGTGTGGATCACAACAAACTGGAAAATTCTTCAAGAGACAGGAATACCAGAACACCTGATCTACCTCCTGAGAAATCTGTATGCAGGTCAAGAAGCAACAGTTAGAACTGTACATGGATGGAGAAGGAACTGGCAACCCATTCCAGTATTCTTGCCTAGAGAATCCCATGGACAGTGGACCCTGGAGGACCATGGGGTTGCAAAGAGTTGGACACAATTGAGTGACTAGATGGCATGATGTAACTCAGTGTGAGAGGTGAAATCTAATGTGACTTTGTAGGTGGATCTTTTGGGACCAATTCAATGTACTGTTGATGCCTCAACATGTGAATATTCAGTAGGATTGATGTGTTAAAGCTTGTACTTCACCATTCTGTGAGTGCCATACAGAGCTTCCCTCAATGAGGGAACAGCCAAATGTAAAGAAATGTTGGTGGGACAAACCTCTCTGAAACTTTCTTACCAGTGGATGGGTCAGGAATTAGCATACATGGCTCTACTCTCTAATGTCCAAAGCTTTTATTGTATTGATGATGTCCTATTGGTTGACAAGTCAGAAGTCCCAGTCTCAATGATCTTTAATGTAGTATTATGATGCCTTTTCAGTAGGAGTGGCTAATAAATTCTGAGAAAAACAAACAAACAAAAAAAAGAACTGTACATGGAACAACAGACTGGTTCCAAATCAGGAAAGGAGTATATCAAGGCTGCATATTGTCACTCTGCTTATTTAACTTACATGCAGAGAACATCATGCGAAATGTCAGGCTGGATGAAACACAAGCTAGAATCAAGATTGCTAGGAGAAATATCAAAACCTCAGATATGCAGATGACACCACCCTTATGGCAGAAAGCAAAGAGAAACTAAAGAGGCTCTTGATGAAACTGAAAGAGGAGAGTGAAAAAACTGACTTAAAACTCAGCATTCAGAAAACTAAGATCATGGCATCCGATCCCACCACTTCATGGCAAATAGATGGGGAAACAATGGAAACAGTGACAGATTTTATTTTCTTGAGATCCGATATCACTGCAGATGATAACTGCAGCCATGAAATTAAAAAACGCTTACTCCTTGGAAGAAACCTAGACAGCATATTAAAAAGCAGAGATATTCCCTTGCTAACAAAGGTCTGTCTAGTCAAAGCTATGGTTTCTCCAGTAGTCATGTATGGATGTGAGAGATGGACTATAAAGAAAGCTGAGTGCTGAAGAATTGATGCTTTTGAACTGTGGGTTTGGAGAAGACTCTTGAGAGTCTCTTGGACTGCAAGGAGATCCCACCAGTCCATCCTAAAGGAAATCAGTCCTGAATATTCATTGGAAGGACTGATGCTGAAGTTGAAACTCCAATACCTTGGCCATCTGATGCAAGGAACTGACTCATTGGAAAAGACCCTGATGCTGGGAAAGATTGAAGGCGGGAGAAGGGGACGACAGAGGATGAGAGAGTTGGATGGCATCACCGACTCGATGGAAAAGAGATTGAGCAAGCTCCGGGAGTTGGTGATGGACAGGGAGGCCTGGCGCGGTGCGATTCATGGGGTCGCAAAGAGTTGAACACAACTGGGTGACTGAACTGAACTGAACTGGGAAGACCAAGGTGCTGGGTGGATCCTGGCCACAAGGGGGCGTAGTCTCCCTAGTTCTGGGCTAAGGAGAGGCCTCTGATGACCCCACGGTGCCCAGGCTCAGCCTAGCAGGGACTTCAATCCTCTCCTGTCGGCAGCCCAGGTGCAGGGGTTTGATGGACAACAGACCACTCCTCTCTGGGCAGCTCTCACAGCGGGTACATCTGGGGTGCAGAAGGCCAGGAGCGGTCAGGCTGGGAGGAGGTCCTGTTCAAATTACAGACTGTGGCAGGAGTGCTGTGTTGGCAGCTTCGCCCAGGAGCCAGGAGGGCGGTGGCGTCTGGGGCATGACCTTGGGTGGCTGGGGTGCTGGTTAGGGTGTTGGGCAGAGCCTGGCTGGTGACGCTGAGAGCGCGTGGGTGTGGCAACCACAACAGAGATGGGGGCCCCAAGGGGCCTGTGGGATCCACTGTGCTGCCCTGCCAGCCCTGCCCAGCCCAGCCGGAACTGGGATTGTGTGCTGTGGTCCAGGCAGAGACCACGGTTTCCATTGAGGTCCACTACGGTCTGGCATTACCTTCTCTAAAAGTAGCTCTTCTGCAGTCAAGCTGAATGGCTGCTCTTCCTCCAAGTGACTTGCACTTTGCTTCATTCACGTATTTATTCACTTACTCATACCAGGCCATCAACCTGTGCTGAGTGTGGTCTGTAGCCAGGCACCATGGAAATACAAGACAGTGGGCCTTCATGGACACCCATGTTGTGCTACCATATCTTTTTTTGTTTTTTTTCATTCTTTTTAAAAAATACTTATTTGGTAGCTCCAGGTCTTAGTTGCATCATGTGGGATCTTTTAGTTATGGCATGGGGGAGCTAGCTCCCTGACCAAGGGCCGGAGCTGGGCCCCCTGCATTGGGAGCTCAGAGTTTTAGCCACTGGACCACCAGGGAAGTCCTATGTCTCCATATTCCATATTTTTATTCACACTTTTCTCCCCATCACCCTCAGTCTGGCCAGGTTTTACCACTCTTGGAGACTTCCTCAAACCTCACCAGCTCCAGGAAGTCCCTTCTGATTACTTCACACGGAGGAAAAGTACCTGATTTGTCCCATTCACTGTTACATCCTGAATGCCTAATACTATCCCTGGTGTAAGGAGGGGCTTGATAAGTGTTTGTTGATTTGAATGAATCAGGTGATCTTGTTTGTCTCGGATTTCACAGTCCAGATTGCCTAAAACTTTCACTTGGCAAGTCATCAGGTCCTGCCTGTGACATCTCTCCTACTCAACTGCTGTGTTTATTACCACCCGATGCTTTGTGGCTGGGTTAGGCAGGTCTCTTCACTCACAAGGGATGGGAAGGAATTTATTGGCTCATTTAAACACATACTAGGAGACGGGCAGGAAGGGTTGAGCCTACCTTACGGAATGACCTGGCTTCCCTGAGAGCTCAGTTGGTAAAGAATTCGCCTGCAGTGCAGGAGACCCCGGTTTGATTCCTGGGTCAGGAAGATCCCCTGGAGAAGGGAAAGACTATCTACTCCAGCATTCTGGCCTGGAGAATTCCATGGACTTCAGTCCATGGGGTCACAAAGAGTCAGACATGACTTTCACTTTCACTCTCTTAGGGGACAACAGCAATCTGGGACTATATCAGGATCCCCTGCTATTCACGATGGCTTCTCTCTTTGATATCTTTATCCCTTGCTTTTGCAAACAGGCTTTCTCCATCCAGAAGATGGCTGTCAGTGGTCCAGACTTAACATCCTTCAAGCTCACCAAATCCAAGAAGAATAGGATTTTCCTCTCCAGCTCCAATTTTGAAATTCTGGTAAAAACTCTGCTAGACTTGTTTTTTTGTTGTTGTTTTTTTTTATTCCCTACCTTTCTCTTGGACCAGTCACTGTAACCAGGGGCAGTGATGTAGGTTGATTGGCAGCCCTTACGTGATTGGCTGAATTGGACTAGAAAAAAGGCAGTTGATCCCCCAAAAGGTGATTAAGAAAAACAGATGTGGCCTTTGGGAAGAGCTGAGGCCACCACCCTGATGGGTATCCACAACAGTGGTGGTACCGTGTTCTCACGTATCAATATATTCGATGATACTGGGGAAACATACATGTACATAGTGCCTTTGCTGATAACAAAATCTTGGTCAATATTGGCTCATTTACAGGTAAAGGAGTTTAGTGTCTTGTTTTGTTTTGGGCTGAAATCCCCAGTGGATCTTCCCTGCACTTTGCATGAGCTGTCTGTCTTGTCACAGCTGCTATGGGTGGGTCGTCGGTCTCAGAGTGTGAAACTGGAGACAATCCTGGAACCTGTGACTTCTGGTTTTCCTTCTGAGAAAACCTTCCAAGCCGAGCAGTGTGAGTAATATTGGCTTTTTGTCTCAAAAAGGAGAATGGCTCTAAGATTGGTTTTTCTATTTGTGTTTCTTTGTTTGTTTTGGTAAAAAGCAGAGATGGCAATTTTGTAAAATGGAGTCTTGTTAGGATGGTCTCAGGAATGGGGCCTTTTGAAAAGATATTGTTCAGTTGCTAAGCGCGCGACTCTTTGCCACCCCACAAACTGCAGCACGCCAGGCTTCCCTGCCCTTCACCATCTCCCAAACTCATGTCCTTTGAGTTGGTGATGTCATCCAACCATCTCATCCTCTGTCGCCTGCTTTCAAAAGATGAGGCACTCCTATCAGAAGAGCATGAGGCTTTCAATAGCCCTATTCGATAATGTTATTGTACCTATTTTTTTGATGAGGAAACAGGCCCAGTGATGGTAGCATGGTCACAGAGCTATAGGAGGTGGGGAGCAAAACCTGTCTGGATGGGGAGCCATGTGCCAGAGGCTTTGTATATCTCATATCATTTAATCTGCACTGCAGTCCTCTGAGACCAGAACAAGATGACAAGCTTGGAAAATTTTAAATGCCTTGCCGACGGTCACAGGCACAAGTAGGGCTGGGATTCATTGATTCAAAAGCCCATATTATTTTCTCTTCCTGATACTGCATGACCTGGCCCAGGTCACTTTATCTCCATGTGCTTCCATTTCGTAATCTGTAGTACGTGAATAATTAGTAGAGACCTCCTGGGTTTGTTGGGAGGGTTAGATGAATTGCCTCTTACACGTAGAGGACCTATTGTTGTTTGTTGTTATTATTATGTCACAAGACCTCCCTCCCGGTCACAAGTCAGGCCACTCCCTTTTGCAGAAAAACCAGATCCCGTGGGAGCCCCTTCCTGGCCCAGGTGCTCCTGAGGCCCGGCTGCAGGTGCCTGGGAAAGTTTGCAACGGGCAGCTAGTGAACAAAGGCTCCAGGTGCTGGGTGATGCTTTGTCTGGCGGCAGGCCTGTTTCCTGCTCGATCAGGTTGCTCTCGGCTGGCTCAGCTCCTGGCGCTGACTGCCCCCCTTCGCCCCCCCATCCCTGCCAGCTGAGGGCTGAGGACTGGGCCTGGTGATGCAGGACAGGGCCCAGCTGGACAAGGCCCTTCCTTTCTGGAGCCCAGCCCAGGGATCTCACTGGCTGAAGCAGGAAGCCTTGGAGCACTGGGCCCATCTTCTGGCTCCCTTCCCATCCTCCATCTATGGGGTGGCCCCATGGGGCGGAGAGAGGCTGGGCCTGGGGGCCAGTATCTGAGACCTGGGGTTGAATGCCAGCCGGGGAAGGAAATAGTGGGTCCCCCTAGGCAAGTGACTTTTTCTCTCTACCTCTCAGTTTCCCTAGTCGGAACTAGGGACCCCATGGACTGTTCAGGAGGTTGGGCTGGTTCCTGGATAAAGCCCTTGAAGGCCCTAAACATTTCTCGGGGCCCCCAACACAGCCTGTGAGAGACAGAACTCCCAACCCTTTGGAGGCTGATATTAGTACAACACAAAACAAGATCCTGTGTCATTCCCCTCTCCAGAAAACACGCTGCAAGCCCTGGCTTGTGGCCCTGCCCGCCCTACCCCACTGCAGCTCCAAGCCGTCAGCTTCTGCAGGTTCTGTGACCAGGAGTCTCCTCCTGCTTCGGGGCTTTTGCACTGGCCATCCCTTGGCACTGGGACACTTCGTGCTCTGGGTCTTCTGGGGGCTGTCCTTGTCACTTGGATCCTAGTTCTCAGGTGTCACCTCCTCAGGGAAGCCCTCTTTGGTCACCCCCTTAACCTAGCCCCTGTCTCATCCCTCCCTAACAACCTCATCCTGTTCCATTCACTCGAAGCACTCACCTCTCTCTGAAGCTGTGTGTCTGTGTGTGTCTCTAAGTGCCTGACTTCTTTGCGACCCCATGGACTGTAGCCTGCCAGGCTCTTCTGTCCTTGTTTTTAATTTGTCTCCCTTTCTGTTGTCTGCCTCTCCACTGGAACATAAACTCCAAGAGGGAAGGGCCTAGTCTTTATTTCTTTCTGCTGCCTCCCCAGCTCTAGAACGGTCCCTGGTGCTCAGGAACTCTCTCTAGATACCCGCTCTGTAAAACTCACTTTAAAAAATATGTTTATTTATTTAGCTGTCCTGGGTCTTAGTTGTAGCATGCAGGATCTTTAGTTGCAGCAAGTGGGATCTAGTTCCCTGACCAAGGATCAAACTCAGGCCCCCTGCACTGGGAAGGTGAACTCTTAGCCACTGGACCACCAGGGAAGTCCTATATAAGACTCACTTAAAATTTTATTATTATTATTATTTGTTTATTTGGCTGCTCAAGGGATATTTTAATTGCAGCATGTGGGATCTAGTTCCTGGTCCAGGGATCAAACCCAGGCCCCCTGCATTGGGAGCACAGCGTCTTAGCCACTGGGCCACCAGGGAGGTCCCAAGACCCACTTTTGAATGAAGGTCTCGGTGTCCCTCATGCCTCTGTGGTCTGGGCAGTGGACCGGAGCTGTAGTGAAGGAGCTCTGCAGGTATGAAGTTGCTTTGATTTCCAAAACACTTTCATACACAGTGCCTCATCTAAACCGCATGTCACACCTACCTGTAAGACAGGTCGGGCAGGATCAGAAGCCCCGTTTTATAGATGAGAAAATTGAGGTGCCCAGAGGCTTAAGGAACATGCCTAAGGTCATATGCGTCATAGGTGCCAAACCAGGACTAGAAACTTCAGAAACTCTTTTCAGGACTCCAGACCAGATATGAGAATGCCTTAAAAGAGAAAAATCCACATTCCAAACCTATTTTTCCCTTAGGTTGTCTTACAGATAAGCACATACTCAGAATTACTGCATGAGAGGGTAGTACTCTGGTCTCCAACTTTCTTTTTCTCATTTTATTTTTTAAAAAATTCTTTTTTAATTGAAGTACAGTTGATTCTAAGTTCTTCTTGAGCTCTGTGATCTATATGTAACCCTTGAGTCACATCCAGGGAAACTCTAAAGTATGCCCTCTTTCTTGGCTGAGAAACCCGTTTCTTCCCTACCATGGAATTATATGGTAGGGAAGTACATAGCCTCTAAATAGTACAGGCTTCCCAGATGGTGCTAGTGGTAAAGATTCCGCCTGCTACTGCAGGAGACATGAGAGACTCGGGTTGGGAAGATCCCCTGGAGGAGGGCATGGCAACCCACTCCAGTATTCTCACCTGGAGGATCCATGGACAGAGGAGCCTGGCAGGCTACAGTCCACGGGGTCTCAAAGAGTCGGACATGGCTGAAGCAACTTAGCACGCACGCACTGAAGAGAAAGGATGGAAAGAGGTCTTGAGAGGCATGTGACCATTGTTTTCAGTCCAATTACTCTGGGAATGTAATGCAGGTAAAGCCTGCATCAGCCACTCATAGACCCTCCACTGGGGGGCCATTCAAAATTACGAATGTGATGAGTCATTCGACACCTTCCAATGAATGAGACCAACAATTCTAACCCTCTTGGCACTCTCTTTGAACAGCTCTCATCTTTCTCAAGCTCCTAAGGATGTATGTCACAGCCCTTCCCCAAAGATCGTGCGGTGGCACTGGGAAGAAAACCGAAAGGTGAGATGACTTGTTTATGGAGAATCGTCAGTGAGTCAGAACTCACACAGAGCTCTGGAGTTTCCAGGCCGTTAGCTTATCTTCCTGAACGTATGAGTCAGGGTCAGTCCAGCCCAGGTAGTACCGGTACGTGCTTCGCCTGCCCTGCTCTTCCGGGCCAGCACCCAGCCTTCACGCATGCACACGCACAGGTGCCCTTCAGCCTCCTTCTCCGTACATCCTGGGAGGGGTGCGGGCAGGCTTGGCTTATTCATCTCTCTTCAGGAGGTGCCCTCAGCCCTCTTTAGAGGGCTGAGCTCAGGCCAGAAACTAACCGCAAGATCTGAACCAAAAAGAGAGAAAGTAAATAGTAATCCTTCCTTTCCATAAATGTTGCAACAGCCTAGCTGTAGCTTGGAGCATGTATTTCGAGAATAACCAGAAACAACCAACGTATTTGTCAATAGTAGTCAGTTGTAAAACATTATGGTATATTCAGAGAATAGAATACTATAAAGCCATTAAAATTAATGAAATAGGGACTTCTCTAGTGGCACAGTGGATAAGAATCCATCCACCAGTGCCTAGGACATGGGTTTGATCCCTGGTCCAGGAGGATCCCATATACCTCGGAGCAACTAAGCCAGTGTTCCACAATAAGAGAAGCCACGGCAATGAGAAGCCCACATGCTGTGACTTGAGTAACCCCCACTTGCCACAACTAGAGACAGCCCGAGAACAGCAAGGAAGCCCAAGTGCTGCAAAAAGTAAATTAAAAAATAAAAAAAGAATAAAAGAAGTTGCATAGCAGGGTGTGTATTATGCTCTCAATTGTGTGAATGTGTATTATGACTTTTTTTTTAACTTTTCATTTTGTATTGGGGTATAGATGATTAACAATGTTGTGATAGTTTCAGGTGAACATCGAAGAGACTCAGCCATCTATACATGTACCCATTCTTCCCCAAACTCCCCTCCCATCCAGGCTGCCGTATAACATTGTACAGAGTTCCCTGTGTTAGACCCTAGGTTCTTGCCTGGTATCCATTTATGACTCATCTTTTTAAATTATAAATAGATATCTTGTTAAAGGATAAACCATAGAAGAAATTAGACCAAGACATGAAACTTCCCATCACCACTTGCAGCAGTCAGGATAGACTAGGTTATGATGTGGTAACAAGCACCTCTAAACATCTTTGGCTTAAAACAACCAAGATTTATTTCTTGCCCATACTTGAATTCCCAATGTGGCTTGCATAGGCTCAGGACTTTGTTTTCAGCACCTTAGTCATCATTAGACTTTTATGAAGTCACCATCCCCACAAGAGGCTTCAGGGTTCACCACTGCCGTGGAAGAAGGCATGAGAACCGCACAGGGGTTCTCAAATCCTGCCCCGCCCCCAAAGGGACATGTGTCACTTTCCCTCACGTTTCACTGGCCACAGATCATATGGCTGCACCTAACTTCCAGAAAGTACAGTCCTCCTATGTATCCAGAAAAAGGAGGCTAGGAATACTGGTGAGTTCTGGTAATGTCTACTACCCACCGCAAACCAGCTGCATCTTTCGAGGCTTTTGTGTTTACATTGATATATCAATAACCTCAGATATGCAGATGACACCACCCTTATGGCAGAAAGTGAAGAACTAAAGAGCCTCTTGATGAAAGTGAAAGAGGANCCGGAGTTGGTGATGGACAGGGAGACCTGGCGTGCTGCAGTTCATGGGGTCGCAAAGAGTCAGACACAACTGAGCAACTGAACTGAACTGAACTGATATACATACTAGTTCTACAGTAATTTTAAAGTAAAACACAGGTTTGGTAGTAGGACCTAGGTTTGAATCCCAAGTAGGTTAATTACCTGCCGTGTTCCTTTAGACAAGATCTTGATCTGCCCAAGACTCAATTTTCCCACCTGTACCTGCTTCCTTGGAGAAGGAAATGGCTTTCCACTCCAGTATTTCCACCTGGAGAATTTCATGGACAGAGGAGCCTGGCGGGCTACAGTCCATGATATTGCAAAGAGTCGGACATGACTGAACACGCATGCACCTGCTTTCCGGGCCAACGTAGAGATGAAATGTAATAGTGGAAATGAAACCTGTAATAAACAGTAGTTTACACAAGTAGTGCTATCTAACTAGGAAATAAAGAGTGCTTGAGGGTGGTGTTTTAGTGGGCTGGAGGTCAGGTGGACCAGGAAATATGGGGAAAGAAAGCCCCTTTCCATCTATTAGATGGGAAGTATCTGGGTCAGTTTCTTGTGTATCCCATGGCCCCAGACATGCTGTGGGCTTGGAGATGGGAGCATCTTATTAGCCAGGCTACTGCCTGCTTAGATGTAGCCAAGGGTCAGGTGCAAAATATCTGCCCTGCATCAACCGGCCCCATTCAGCCCATTTGGGCTCTGCTGCTTCCCATCTGAAGCTGAGTGTGCTGGTGAGGGAGAACACTTTCTATTTAAAGGAGGACCGACATTCATATTAAATCTGTTGTTTGAGGAAACAATGATCCTCACAGCATTTGTAGAGCACAGTTTTGAAGCATGTATCAGACCCTTTGATCCAGCAGTCCTCAGTGAGGAATTCATCCTAAGAAAATGACAAAACAAATGAGTAAAGATGGATCTGTACTACTCATAATGGAAAATTGAACACCTAAATGTCTTGACATGGGTGTTGAAACAAACTATAGAATGCTTTTTGTTTATCCAACTATATCCAGACATGAAAGGATGTCAACTGTCCATTGAAAAGTTATATGAGAAAGAGCAATGTATATGTAACAGTGTAGACAGATGAGTACATAGATAGATAGATCTCCTATGATCTCCTTGTTGAAAAGAATATATAGGGAATCCCTGGTGGTGATGACTATGCTTTCACTGCTGAGGGCCAAGGTTCAACTCCTGTTTCAGGCTGAATCTCACAAACTGCTTAGCTCGGGAAAAAAAAAAAGAATATATACCTTATATATGCTTTGACATTCTGAAAGGATAAATGCCAGAATATTAGCAATTATTGCCTGCAGGGGGTAGGAAAGTGAAAGTGAAAGTCCTTCAGTCATGTCCGACTCTTTGTGACCCCATGGACTGTAGCCCGCTAGGTTCCTCTGTCCATGGAATTCTCCAGGCAAGAATACTGGAGTGGGTAGCCATTCCCTTCTCCAAGGGATCTTCCAGACCCAGGGATTGAAGTCAGGTCTCCTGCGTTGCAGGCAGATTCTTTACCATCTGAGCCACTAGGAAAGCCAGAACATTAGTGATTATTGGAGTAGGAAGAGTAGGAATTTTTTTCTTCACACAAAGAACATAATTTAGTAAAAGGTCAAGTTATTTAACTGTGTCTCCAGCTACATTTTGTGATCAACACTTAATGTAACCTGCTCACCTCTGGAGGGGACTTGGCCCTTGTCTGGGAGTCAGAAAACCTTGGTGTGTGTGTGTGTGCTGTGTGTGACCTTGGGCAAGCTACCTGGGATGGGAAGCATTTGTACGAACTTTTTACAAATAGATACAGACACATAGAAAGGCCTGTACTTGAGATCACACAGCTCATGGCTCCTGAACTGCATTTTGAACCCGGGGTTTTCCTGATTCTGGGTCAGGATATTCTTACATTACATCACAGCCAGCCCTTTCTGAGTCTCATCTCTGAAATGACAGGGTCAGAACACAGTCCCTTTCAGCTGAAAAGATTCAATGTCCGCAGGAAGTCGCCCCTCCCCCATCATTCCTGGTGTATCACAGGCCCCAGAGTTGGTATGCATGCCCTGTTCGTCAAATGCCAGCCTTCCCCAGGGGAAGGGGCTCCAGGTTGGGGGTTGGAGAGAGCTCCTGGCCTGCCCAGGGCCATCTAGAGGGGGCAGGGGGTGGGTGGGTGTGCTCTCTGGCCAGGCGTCTGGCTGGGTGCCTGCAGAACCGGGCAAAAATTGCCCACGAGGGCTGGCTGGGAGCCCAAGAACTTGTTGTCTTTCCCTTTAAACAGACACTGGCTGTCTGTTAAGATTCTGGAAACATCTGACCTTTCGAAGAGCATCTCTGGCAGGGCTGGAGGGCGGTCCTTCCCTTTCTGTAAGTGCTTTAACCCTTTCCACACAATCCTGGACAACAATCCTAACAACCACAACAAAAAAGGAGATCAGTTTCCAAGGAACAGGAAAGGTTTGTTGGGTCTCTCTCCTTTGGATTTTCTGGGGTGCAGAGCAGAGATTTTGAGCCCAGAAGTCTCCTGCCTCACTTGCTCAGTTCCTGGTCTCGGGAGCCTGAGCTTAGAGGGAGGAGAGGGGCTGAAAGGAGAACAAAGGGGCCTGGGACTTCAGGGTGGGAGTGGGAACTGCTCCTCTGACCGACCGAACAGTGTATGCCTTCATATTTTCTACGAAGGTTTACATTTGGGTACAGCAGGGCACCTTCTGGGTATCAGGCAATGAGTGAGGTGATATGAGGCCAACACAATGGCAAACAAACCCAGAGAGAAATGTTCTATGCCTTCGGAAAGGTTAATTTTCTGGGAGTGTGTGTGTGTGTGTGTATGTGTGTGTGTGTGTGTGTGCTGAGTCAGGCAGTTGTGTTCGACTCTTTGCGACCCCATGGACTGCAGCCCACCAGGCTCCTCTGTCCCTGGACCCCCAGGCAAGAATCCTGGAGTGGGTTGCCATTTCCTCCTCCAGGGAATCTTCCCAACCCAGGGATCGAACCCATTTCTCTTGCATCTGCTGCGTTGGCAAGTGGATTCTTTACTACTGTGCCACCTGGAAGCCCTCTGAGGGAGTGGGCTGTGATGAAATAATCACAAGCTCAGGGACCCCCCTGGTGGTTCAGTGGTTAAGAATCCACCTTCCAGTGCAGTCCCTGGCTAGGGATCTGAGATCCCACATGCCATGTGGTCAAAAAATTTTTAAATATATATTTTTAAATTTTTTTAAAAAAGTTAAAAAAATAATCACAAGCTCAATAGTCAAATGACAATAGGGTAAAGTGCTAGGGAGGAGACAAATGGTGCTAAGAGTGCCTGATGGTGGAGATATAATATGGGAAGGTCAGAGGAGGCATTCCTGAGACCTGGGAGCAGGGGTCCAAAGGGTTACTGCTTGATGATTGAGCACAAGCCCTGCAGGCAGCACACAGAAGCTTATTAAAATGCAGGA